TCAAGATTGATGCAAAACAAGTGACATTTGACCTTTTTAGAGAGGTTTAGCCAAACAAACTCCACCTCTGAGGTGATTTGGGTGGAAATGTTTTTTTTTCCATATCTCTGGCCCCCCTTGCTCGATTTTGATGGTTGACACCTCTTTCTGACCGTTAGAGCCAATTTAATCTAAGGGGGATTCCCCCAGACACACACGTTGTAAAACGAAAAGGTGGGGGCTTCGCTCATGTAATTTTCCATCAGAGTGAACCTATCTCTAGCTTTGACATCTGGAAACGGAAAAGCAGTTTTAATGTTTATGGATTATCATAAATCATTTCAAAGGGACACAGACACATTGGATTAACCTATGGATTAACTTCAGCAGCGTTTTTATCGTTTTAATGCCATTGAAGACCACTTTTGAGCAGACTACAGAGACAAGGTAACCATGTTAGCATTATTAGCTACCTAGCGCCACATGTTTTGATGTCTGTTTTTGTTTATAACGTCGCGATTTAATATAATTGAGTGATAATGAGGGTACCCTTCGATTCTGTGTCACCTCACGATGTGAATCGATGTCATGGATGTGCAGAAAAGATAAATAATAAGGTTTTGTGAGTGATTTTCGGTGCAGTAATCTGTTAGCATTTTTCGCTCGTTGCTAATTCAGAGGCTCAGCGTTAGCATTGTGGGTTTTATTTTGAAAAAAAAAATAAGAACGATCAGTAAGATGAGTTTCTTCCCGTTACATGGATATAAAACATTCATAGTTTATTAAATGAACATGCCCTCAGACACTGTTTCCTGCAAGATGTTGCGGGAGGGCCTCGGTACCGGGGTCTCTCGGGCTTAACAGGTTAATGGCGCCTGAAGTTGGAAGAAAAACTCTAGCTCTGAGCCTGATGACAAAATCTAACGAAACCACAAAAGCTCTCTGAGATGGGAAACAAGCTTGTGTTGTAACATGTCTGCAGCCCACAGTGACAGGAAACACCAAACCGCTGTACAGAAACCTCTGGAGCAGAGACAACACAATACTGATCAACATTAAACACAAAAGACAAAACAAACGGATGGATTCACGTTGTATTTAACTGAAGACGTTTCAATAATCTCTACGTACTGGTTTACTTCACAGACTTGGGTTTGTGTTAGTGCTTTTGTTCTTATCTTTATAAAATATGTTTCTCTGTTGTTCTCTCTTGGTCTGTGATTAATTAAGGTGTACCACAGGGTTCAATCCTAGGTCCTCTCAGTTTATATTTACATGCTGCTTTATCTGAGGAATTGTCTTTGTTTTGCAGACAATACGTGAAGAGTCTGATATAATTCAGTCAACGTAGCAGCTGGATTTTCTTTTGTAAATTTAGGAATTAGTTTAAAGAAATTAAGTGATAAGAGATCACCAAACTATAACAATGATCACCTGCAGCTGATACAACATGCTGCTACCAGTCTGTTACCCAGGAGGAAGTGTAACTGAGAGAAGTGAAATATAGATCTAAGAGGAGACAGAGAGATTCAGGGAGGAGCTAAGATGTTCCTGAACTATAGATGAGAGAGGAACTTCCATATTCACCAGAGTTCAACACAGACCATCATCATCACCTTCATTCAACATGCTGTCCCTGCAGAACTCAGCTTTTTCTCTGATGTTGTTTGCAATCTTATCCGGTTAGTAGATGGATACAAAATCAGTGTCAACGCTTTCTGAGTGTGGTTCTGCTAAAAGGACTTTTATAACATTAAATAACAGAGTTAATCTTTCCCTTAGGCGTCACCTGTGAAGATCTGACTCCAGTCAAAACAGAAGAGTTCAGTTCAGAAGGCAGCACTGTTACTCTGTCCTACAAAGCTGGATCTAATGCTAATTATTACTTCTGGTATCGACAATATCCTGGAAAACCACCAGAGTTCCTCATCTCACACTCTGCTTCAGGCCAAGTAGGAACTAACCCAATCCCTGGACTGAATATTACAGTGACGAAAAAGCAAATGGAGTCAAACCGAATCAATATGATCATCTCCTCTGCTGCAGTGACAGACTCTGCTGTGTACTACTGTGCTCTGCAGCCCACAGTGACAGGAAACACCAACACTCTGTACAAAAACCTTTGGAGCAAAGACAACACAGTACTGCACAGCATCCACCAGAGGGAGTCTCTCTCTGTTAGACTTCAGCAGAGTTTATCAGTCCTCTTTATACTCGCTGTAGCTCAGAGTTTCTCAACTTGCAGATATGATGCATCTGATTATCTCAGTGTTGCTGGCTGCTATGAGTCTTGGTATGAACTCTTTGATATCAGTCCAACATTGAGATGATTCTCTAACATGTCCCTGATACTGTTTGTTGCTGTTTTACAGAATGCAGAGCCCAAAGAGACAACGTGCTGCAACCTGAAGCAGAAAAGACTGCTACTAAAGGAGAGGCAGTAACACTTGGCTGTCACTATAACAGCAGTTCATCAAATGACTATCTCTTCTGGTACAAACAGCTCGGAGACAACAGCCCCACATTCATCCTGAGCCGCTTTAAGATCGGCACGGGGAAAACAGAGGACGAGGACAGATTCTCATCCACACTGAATTCAAGCTTAAGATCCGTTCCTCTGAAGATCCAGAAGCTTCAGCTGTCTGACTCTGCTGTGTACTACTGTGCTCTGCAGCCCACAGTGACAGGAAACACCAACACTCTGTACAAAAACCTTTGGAGCAAAGACAACACAATACTGCACAACATCCACCAGAGGGAGTCTCTCTCTGTTAGACTTTAGGGAAACAACACAAGAAACTCTCAAACAATTCAACCCCCAGCAGAGAGCCATCCTTTATTTGATGCTTCAACACCACGCTACTTTAATTTATCTGAAACATTTATCCTAATAACTTTTTATGAGTGCAGTCCACCAGGTGCCAGACTCCTGATGGACCTTCACCAACACTTCTTATTTTTCATATTTATTCCCACTTGCCCTGACATCTGCAGTCTTCAAACCACTCTTAAAGAGCAACCTAGGGCAGGGGTCGGTAACCGTAGGCACGTGGCACGCGGTACCGTAACCAGTGGCACACTAGGAATAAGTAGAATAAGTGTGCAAAATATTTAAATTGTATTTTCGGATCCTGAACGAGACCGCCGCCAGAGCGTGTCTCACCGTTACCTGCAGAAGGAAGACATGCACGCAACGCAGCGCAGAAGGAAACAAAAAATGTAAGAAATCTAGACCGCAACAGAATTAAACAAGCGACTGCCTGTTTTTCCTGGCCATGGACAGGTTCCTTGAACACAACACAAGCGTAACGTGTCATTACGGGGTATAGTGCTGCCGGAACGCGGCTCCGGCAATTCAAAAATTGCAGTACCCATAAGGAGCCCCATGAAAAGATAATCACATTGGTTGCTTAAACATTTTTTTCTTAATGTTCTCAAATAGTTTGGGCCCCTGTCAGTCACGGGCCCTCAGAATCGTCCTAACTTTTCACCCCCTTACGGCGCCCCTGCGTACACATGCCGCAGTTTTTGCGTGGCTGTGTCTTTAGTTGTAAGCCCAGTGGCATCTGTTCATCTGACATATGATCATACAATAATGCCATGGAAAATAATATGCTACATTACAGTTCAACTGTTGATAAACATCAACAGTTAGTGATGATACAGTAATGTTGTTTACCTGCTTGATCATTTGAAATCTGTGAACAATTTTACCATAGAAACACATGTACTGCCTGGATTCAAGTAGTCTCCATGAACTAAAAATAAGTGTCTCTAATTTTCTGTCAGTCTGTGATTTGATGTGGTGTACCACAGGGTTCAATCCAAGGTCCTCTCACTTTGTCATTGGTTTCAGTTTATCTCGAAACTCAATGTGATCGTAGGTTCTATTGGAACAGCAGCTTGTGTTGTGGTGTTCAAGACCTTTTCAATGTTGGGTATGAAGTACAATTCTTATTAGATTAAGATCATTTTAAACAGATTTCTCTCTAGATGAAACACCTCTCACTAATCTGACTTCACGTTAACGCCCGTCATTGTTATCGCCACGTTTTCCTTCTTTACTGACTGATCAAACACTTTAAATCACCTCTCTCAATAAACTGGTACACATCACACACTCAAGTTTTGATTGCTTTTGTTCTTATCTTTATACATTACAATTATCTTTTGGTCTGTGATTAATCGTGGTGTACCACAGGGTTCAATCCTAGGTCCTCTGACTTTTTATTTACAGACTGCCTTTGGATCTGTTACCCAGGAGGAAGTGTAACTGAGAGAAGTGAAATACAGATCTAAGAGGAGACAGAGAGATTCAGGGAGGAGCTAAGATGTTCCTGAACTATAGAAGAGAGAGGAACTTCCATATTCACCAGAGTTCAACACAGACCATCATCATCATCACCTTCATTCAACATGCTGTCATTAGACTATTATTTACATTCCCTACTGTTAGTTTCCATTCTAAGAGGTACGTAACATTCTGCATGAAAACGTTAACTTCTAATGTTGATCAAATGTGATCTATTAACTGAGTCTTTTGAATTACTCCTCTCTTCAGGGGTCAGCTGTGAAGATCTCACTGCATTACAGAAAGAAGAGTTCAGTCCAGAAGGCAGCACTGTTACTCTGTCCTACAGATACTCCAAAGAAGCAACTGGTAATGATTATTTCTTCTGGTATCGACAATATCCAGGAAAACCACCAGAGTTCATCTTCTCTCATTTAGGAACTGGAAACATTATGTTGAATCCAGTTTCTGGACTGTCTGCTGAAGTGAGTGAGGATAAAACCCAGGTCTATCTGAGCATCTCCTCTGCTGCAGTGACAGACTCTGCTGTGTACTACTGTGCTGTGAAGCCCACAGTGACAGGAAACACCAACACTCTGTACAAAAACCTTTGGAGCAAAGACAACACAGTACTGCACAGCATCCACCAGAGGGAGTCTCTCTCTGTTCACCTTCAGCAGGATGTGATGAGACAGTCTAGATTAGATTCTCTCAGACTCACAGCTGTGATGAAGAGCTCCAGAAACTCATTGGACATCTGAGTCTCCTCCTGCTGACTGCAGAGCTTCATGACTGACACCTCTCTGATTCCAGCTGTGAACATCAGACCAAACACAACTCACTAAACGTTTCCATACTGAACAACCACAGCTTTCCCCTCTGTGAACATGGAGAAACTGGCTGCAATTCTACTCTGTTCAGCTCTCATAGGTACGTATGTTTCTGACAGGAGAAGAGGAAATATGAAGACTTTTTCAAAGCATTACACATCCACTTTGGATTTTGGATAAACGCTTTATAGGAGTGTTGTTTTTTCACTAAGGAATTGATGGGTTTGTGACTTTGGAGCTGTAATGATAGCATGATGTTTTCCTCACTAGGTAACAGCTTGGAAGATGATATTACTGCCATCAGTGCTGAAGTGTGTTCCTCAGAGGGCCGTAGTGTTACTCTGTCCTGTACATATTCAGTTAAAGCCAATAACCTCCAGTGGTACAGACAGGATCCTGGATCAGCTCCTCAGTTCCTCCTCCTGATCACTGACACAGCACAGCCTTACGTGGTGGAAGCAAAACCTCCAATCCCTCGACTGAATGCCACACTGAACTTGGAGAGAAATCAAGTGGATCTGCAGATCTCCTCTGCTGCAGTGACAGACTCTGCTGTGTACTACTGTGCTCTGCAGCCCACAGTGACAGGAAACACCAACACTCTGTACAAAAACCTTTGGAGCAAAGACAACACAATCCTGCACAGCATCCACCAGAGGGAGTCTCTCTCTGTTAAACATCAATAGTTTGTGATCTGTTCACCTTCAGCAGGATGTGATGATACAGTAATGTCACTGACATGCTTGATCATTTGAAATGTATGAACAATTGTTCCCTATTATACAAACACATGTACTGCCTTTGATTCACATCCACAAGTTCAAATGTTGAACTCAGTCAGGGAATCTGGCCTTTCATCACAGGTTAAAATAAAAGTAAGTCAAAGTCAAAGTCAAAAGTCAAAGTCAGCTTTATTGTCAACATTTCTACATGTGTTATACATACAGAAATCTCGAGATACCGTTTCCCGCAGTCCCACAGTGTGACATATATACATAAAACAAAAAAAGGGCAGAGATAAATGGGGTATACAACTAAGCAATAGTTTTAATAAGTGCTGGTTAATAATATATTTAAAAACACAGTCCACAGAACATAAATTGACATTAATGCAAGTATTTTTTGTGCAAAATAGAAAAATGTTCAAAGTACAGTTTCAGTGCAGTAGCTGCGGAGATGGGTAGAAAAGTGACTGGTGCTGGATGAGGGAAGGTTGTGTGTGTGTGTGTGTGTGGGGGGGGGGGGGGTTAAAGTCCAGGACCATTTGGGGCAGGGTGGAGAGGTCAGGGGAGAGATGTCAGAGAGGGGGAGAGGGAGAGAGAGGGAGGGAGGGAGGGGAGAGAGTTCAGCATCCTGACCGCCTGGTGGAGGAAGCTGTTGCCCAGCCTGGAGGTGCGCGAGCTGAGGCTGAGGAACCTTCTTCCTGAAGGCAGGAGGCTGAAGAGGCTGTTGGAGGGGTGGGTGGAGTCACCCGCAATGCTGAGTGCTTTGCGGGTGAGGCGGGTGTTATATATGTCCTGTGGTGAGGGGAGTGAGGCACCGATGATCCTCTGGGCAGAGTTCACGATGCGCTGCAGGCTCTTGTGGTTGGAGGCGGTGCAGCTTCCAAACCACAGCGTGATACAGCTGCTGAGGATGTTCTCAGTGGCGCCTCGGTAAAAAGACAGCATGATGGGGGGTGATGCTCCGGCTCACTTGAGCTTCCGGATGAAGTACAGGCGCTGCTGGGCTTTCCTCGCTAGTGCGGTGGTGTTGTTTTCCCAGGTGAGGTCATCAGTGATGGTCACACCAAGGATATTGGTGCTGGTCACCTGCTCCACAGCAGCGCCGTTGATTGTCAGGGGGAGAGGGGGTTGGTAGTGGGTTCTCCTGAAGTCAACAACTATCTCCTTTGTTTTCTCCAGGTTGAGGAAGAGGTTGTTATTTTGGTACCACAGGGCCAGCTGGTTCACTTCCTTCCTGTAGTTAGTCTCATCGTTGTGGCTGATGAGACTAACTACAGTTGATGGTCTTAATTAACTTTAAATAAGTGTTTCAGTTTTTCTGTCAGTCTGTGATTTCATGTGGTGTACCACAGGGATCAATCCTAGGTCCTCTCACTTTCTCATTGGATTCAGTTTATCTCTGAGCACAATGTGATTATAGGTTCTATTGGAACAGCAGCTTGTGTTGTGGTGTTCAAGACGCTTTAAATGTTGGATCTGAAGAAATATTTGTAATAGATTTAGATCATTTTAAACAGATTTCTCTCTCGATGAAACACCTCTCACTAATATGACTTCACGTTAACGCCCGTCATTGTTATTATTACGTTTTTATTTACTGACTGATCAAATACTTTAAATCACCTCTCTCAATAAACTGGTACACATCACACACTCAAGTTTTGATTGCTTTTGTTCTTATCTTTATAAAATAAGTTACTCTGTTGGTCTGTAATTTATTGTGGTGTACCACAGGGTTCAATCCTAGGTCCTCTGACTTTTTATTTACAGACTGCCTTTGGATCTGTTACCCAGGAGGAAGTGTAACTGAGAGAAGTGAAATACAGATCTAAGAGGAGACAGAGAGATTCAGGGAGGAGCTAAGATGTTCCTGAACTATAGAAGAGAGAGGAACTTCCATATTCACCAGAGTTCAACACAGACCATCATCATCACCTTCATTCAACATGCTGTCATTAGACTATTATTTACATTCCCTACTGTTAGTTTCCATTCTAAGAGGTACGTAACATTCTGCATGAAAACGTTAACTTCTAATGTTGATAAAATGGGATCTATTAACTGAGTCTTTTGAATTACTCCTCTCTTCAGGGGTCAGCTGTGAAAATCTCACTGCATTACAGAAAGAAGAGTTCAGTCCAGAAGGCAGCTCTGTTACTCTGTCCTACAGATACTCCAAACAAGCAACTGGTGGTGATGAGTTTTACTGGTATCGACAATATCCAGGAAAACCACCAGAGTTCATCATCTATCATTTAGGAACTGGAAACATTATGAATAATCTGATCCCTGGACTGAATATTACAGTGGAGTCAAACCAAATCAATATGAGCATCTCCTCTGCTGCAGTGACAGACTCTGCTGTGTTCTACTGTGCTGTGAGGCCCACAGTGACAGGAAACACCAACACTCTGTACACAAACACCAGCTGACACACTGACAAGCTGCTGGAAGCCTTTTCTCCACACTGTTGTACTGAGCTGTTCACCTCCACTAGAGGGCCACATTATCAAGTAGGCGGTGCACGTCTTCTGCACTGTGTTCAACCATCCAGTCAATAAGAAGTGCTGCTGTGAAGAGAACCATCCTCACACTGAATGCTGAACATCAGCTACTTCCTGCTGCTGATTTAAACCTTGTTGTAGAGATGGAACATTGGCTGTGGATTATTCTTGCTGCTCTCTCCTATGGTAAGATAGAAACTACAACATGTTTCTAGGTAACTGTTTAAAGCTACTGATTGTTCTCCTTTAATCCATCATCTTTATTGATTCATCTCTTCCTCTGCATGGTCTCTTCTTCCCCAGAGTGTAAAGGACAAGACACAGTGACCCAGCCAGCAGGAGATGTCAGCGCTACTGAAGGAGACACAGTTACACTTGGCTGCACATTTCAGACATCTAATACAGCCTATCTGTTCTGGTACAAACAAGAAGTCAATGGTTACCCAAAGTACATGCTGATGCGTTACTCAAGAACTGGAGAGAATGCTGCAGAGTTCAAGAAAGACAGATTCGAGGCTACACTCAACAAGACATCAGTTCCTCTGCAGATCTCCTCTGCTGCAGTGACAGACTCTGCTGTGTACTACTGTGCTCTGAGGCCCACAGTGACAGGAAACACCACAACTCTGTACAAAAACCTCTGGAGCAAAGACAACACAATACTGCACAGCATCCACCAGAGGGAGTCTCTCTCTGTTAACAGGTTAATAGATTTCAAGCAGGTAGATTACATTACTGTATCCTCACAAACTATTGATGTTTAACCTGTTAAGCCCGGCAGTCCCCGCCCGCAGGGGCTGCAGGTTTTTTTTAACGAAACTGTGTCTCAGGGCTTCTTAACATTTAACAACCTATTAATGTGTCATACCCACTTAACCTGTTAACCCCTGAGCCTGTTTTTCAGGTCTCAGGCTCGAAAATGACATTCCCAGAACAAATGACTATATCTTCACTTCTAAAAGGGGTAAATTAATAATCTTTTTTCTCAAAGTAATGATAAACCTGTGAGTTGGATGTAGAAAAGTCAGAATCAATATAGAATCTTTTTATTTTAAAGTAAATTCAGATTGAACATAGTAAAAGAATGTAAATTATAGTGTCCGTCCGAAAAGAAAAACATTACTTATAGTGAAAACCACCCTTGAATGATGGAATCGGAGACTAAAAGCTTTAGGAATCCAAACTACAACATTTAATAAGAACCCTGTATCAGGTTGATGCAAAACAAGTGACATTTGACCTTTTTAGAGAGGTTTAGCAAAAAACAAAACACTTCTGGGGTCATTTGGGTGGATTTGCCATATCTTTTGCCTCCCTTGGTCGATTTTGATGATTGACACCTCTTTTGAACCGTCAGAGCCAATATAATCCAGGGGAAGTTCCTACATCCATCTAAACATTTCCATTGAGGAGAGAGAGTGATGCGCACGCAATTTGCCCAAAACCGGAAGCTGGGTTGTAGCTCTAATAGCAGCTCATATGAAATCTCCGTTTTTGACAAAAATGGAATGATGGATTATCAGTAATCATTTCAAAGTGACACAGACACATTGGATTAACCTATGGATTAACCTTCAGCAGCGTTTTTATCGTTGTAATGCCATTAAACACAACTTTTGATCAGAAAAACAACAAAGGTAAGACTATTTGCCGTTTTTGCTACGTAAAGCTACGTCGTATGATGTCTGGGTTCGCTTCCCCTGCCGTGGGTTAATCTCGGCTTTAATCTGATATCTTGTTTGTGCAGATCCGATAAGTAATAAAGTATATCTACCCTGAGTTCTGTGCTAAGTGCGTTAGCATTTTTCTGCTCAGGGCTCATTTAGACGCTTCTTGTGAGACTTGTGTTTTGTTTCGGTAAAAATGGTTCGTATCGTCAGTTAGCTAAGTTTCTTCCCGTTAACAATTGTTCCCTACCATACAAACACATGTACTGTCTTTGATTCACATCCACAGGTTCCAATGTTCAACTCAGGAAGTAAATCTGGCCTTTTATCACAGGCTGAAATAAAAGTAAGTAGTCTCCATGAATTTAAAATACATTTTTTTCTGTTTTTCTTTGAGTCTGTGATTTCACGTGGTGTACCACAGGGTTCAATCCTAGGTCCTCTGACTTTTTATTTACAGACTGCCTTTGGATCTGTTACCCAGGAGGAAGTGTAACTGAGAGAAGTGAAATACAGATCTAAGAGGAGACAGAGAGATTCAGGGAGGAGCTAAGATGTTCCTGAACTATAGAAGAGAGAGGAACTTCCATATTCACCAGAGTTCAACACAGACCATCATCATCATCACCTTCATTCAACATGCTGTCATTAGACTATTATTTACATTCCCTACTGTTAGTTTCCATTCTAAGAGGTACGTAACATTCTGCATGAAAACGTTAACTTCTAATGTTGATCAAATGTGATCTATTAACTGAGTATTTTGAATTACTCCTCTCTTCAGGGGTCAGCTGTGAAGATCTCACTGCATTACAGAAAGAAGAGTTCAGACCAGAAGGCAGCACTGTTACTCTGTCCTACAGATACTCCAAAACTATAACGGCTAGTGAAGATTTTTTCTGGTATCGACAATATCCAGGAAAACAACCAGAGTTTCTTCTCTACATCTCAGGAACAAGTTTTACAAGACTAGCAGAGTCTCTAAAATCAGACACAACGTTCTCTTCTAAACTGTCTGAAGGAAAGCAACGAGTGGATCTGAGCATCTCCTCTGCTGCAGTGACAGACTCTGCTGTGTTCTACTGTGCTGTGAGGCCCACAGTGACAGGAAACACCAACACTCTGTACACAAACACCAGCTGACACACTGACAAGCTGCTGGAAGCCTTTTCTCCACACTGCTGTACTGAGCTGTTCACCTCCACTAGAGGGCCACATTATCAAGTAGGCGGTGCACGTCTTCTGCACTGTGTTCAACCATCCAGTCAATAAGAAGTGCTGCTGTGAAGAGAACCATCCTCACACTGAATGCTGAACATCAGCTACTTCCTGCTGCTGATTTAAACCTTGTTGTAGAGATGGAACATTGGCTGTGGATTATTCTTGCTGCTCTCTCCTTTGGTAAGATAGAAACTACAACATGTTTCTAGGTAACTGTTTAAAGCTACTGATTGTTCTCCTTTAATCCATCATCTTTATTGATTCATCTCTTCCTCTGCATGGTCTCTTCTTCCCCAGAGTGTAAAGGACAAGACACAGTGACCCAGCCAGCAGGAGATGTCAGCGCTACTGAAGGAGACACAGTTACACTTGGCTGCACATTTCAGACCTCTGACACAGTTCCCCGTCTGTTCTGGTACAAACAAGAAGTCAATGGTTACCCAAAGTACATGCTGATGCGTTACTTAAGAACTGGAGATAATGCTGAAGAGTTCAAGAAAGACAGATTTGATGCTACACTCAACAAGACATCAGTTAATCTGCAGATCTCCTCTGCTGCAGTGACAGACTCTGCTGTGTACTACTGTGCTCTGAGGCCCACAGTGACAGGAAACACCACAACTCTGTACAAAAACCTCTGGAGCAAAGACAACACAATACTGCACATCATCCGCCAGAGGGAGTCTCTCTCTGTTAAACATCAACAGTTTGTGATGATACAGTAATGTCATTTACCTGCTTGATATTTTGAATTCTATGTACAATTGTGCACTAACATACAAACACATGTACTGTCTTTGATTCACATCAACAGGTTCAAATGTTTAACTCAATCAGGCAATCTGACCTGTTATCAAAGATTAAAGATATAATGTAGTCTCCATGAATTTAAAATAAGTTTTTCAGTTTTTCTGTCAGTCTGTGATTTCATGTGGTGTACCACAGGGTTCAATCCTAGGTCCTCTCACTTTGTTATTGGATTAAGTTTATCTCTGAGCACAATGTGATTATAGGTTCTAATGGAACAGCAGCTTGTGTTGTGGTTGTTCAAGACCTTTTAAATGTTGGGTATGAAGTACAATTCTTATTAGATTAAGATGATTTAAAACACATTTCTCTCCAGATGAAACACCTCTCACTAATCTGACTTCACGTTAAAGCCCGTCATTGTTACTTTTTTTTACTGACTGATCAAATACTTTAAATCACCTCTATCAATAAACTGGTACACATCACAGACTCAAGTTTTGATTGCTTTTGTTCTTATCTTTATAAAATAAGTTACTCTGGTGGTCTGTAATTTAACGTGGTGTACCACAGGGTTCAATCCTAGGTCCTCTGACTTTTTATTTACAGACTGCCTTTGGATGTGTTACCCAGGAGGAAGTGTAACTGAGAGAAGTGAAATACAGATCTAAGAGGAGACAGAGAGATTCAGGGAGGAGCTAAGATGTTCCTGAACTATAGAAGAGAGAGGAACTTCCATATTCACCAGAGTTCAACACAGACCATCATCATCATCACCTTCATTCAACATGCTGTCATTAGATAATTGTTTCATTTTTTTATTTTTAGTGTCCTTTCTAAGAGGTATGTGACATTCTGCACGAAAAAGTTGAATTATAGATTAATTTAATGCGATTTATTAAATGAATACTTTGAATTACTCCTCTCTCCAGTCAGCTGTGAAGATCTCACTCCATCAAAGCCAGAAGAGTTCAGTCCAGAAGGCAGCACTGTTACTCTGTCCTACAGATACTCCAAAACTATAGCAGCTAATGATTATTTCTACTGGTATCGACAATATCCAGGAAAACCACCAGAGTTCCTCATCCTTCACTGGGGAACAACACCTGCATCAAACTCTAGACTGTCCGTTAAACCGAATGAGGATAAAACCCAGGTCTATCTGAGCATCTCCTCTGCTGCAGTGACAGACTCTGCTGTGTACTACTGTGCTGTGAAGCCCACAGTGACAGGAAACACCAACACTCTGTACAAAAACCTTTGGAGCAAAGACAACACAGTACTGCACTTCATCCACCAGAGGGAGTCTCTCTCTGTTCACCTTCAGCAGGATGTGATGAGACAGTCTAGATTAGATTCTCTCAGACTCACAGCTGTGATGAAGAGCTCCAGAAACTCATTGGACATCTGAGTCTCCTCCTGCTGACTGCAGAGCTTCATGACTGACACCTCTCTGATTCCAGCTGTGAACATCAGACCAAACACAACTCACTAAACGTTTCCATACTGAACAACCACAGCTTTCCCCTCTGTGAACATGGAGAAACTGGCTGCAATTCTGCTCTGTTCAGCTCTCATAGGTACGTATGTTTCTGACAGGAGAAGGGGAAATATGAAGACTTTTTCAAAGCATTACACATCCACTTTGGATTTTGGATAAACGCTTTACAGGAGTGTTGTTTTTTCACTAAGGAATTGATGGGTTTGTGACTTTGGAGCTGTAATGATAGCATGATGTTTTCCTCACTAGGTAACAGCTTGGAAGATGATATTACTGCCATCAGTGCTGAAGTGTGTTCCTCAGAGGGCCGTAGTGTTACTCTGTCCTGTACATATTCAGTTAAAGCTGAAAACCTCCAGTGGTACAGACAGGATCCTGGATCAGCTCCTCAGTTCCTCCTCCTGATCACTGACACAGCACAGCCTTACGTGGTGGAAGCAAAACCTCCAATCCCTCGACTGAATGCCACACTGAACTTGGAGAGAAATCAAGTGGATCTGCAGATCTCCTCTGCTGCAGTGACAGACTCTGCTGTGTACTACTGTGCTCTGCAGCCCACAGTGACAGGAAACACCACAACTCTGTACAAAAACCTTTGGAGCAAAGACAACACAATCCTGCACAGCATCCACCAGAGGGAGTCTCTCTCTGTTAAACATCAATAGTTTGTGATCTGTTCACCTTCAGCAGGATGTGATGATACAGTAATGTCACTGACATGCTTGATCATTTGAAATGTATGAACAATTGTTCCCTATTATACAAACACATGTACTGCCTTTGATTCACATCCACAAGTTCAAATGTTGAACTCAGTCAGGGAATCTGGCCTTTCATCACAGGTTAAAATAAAAGTAAGTCAAAGTCAAAGTCAAAAGTCAAAGTCAGCTTTATTGTCAACATTTCTACATGTGTTATACATACAGAAATCTCGAGATACCGTTTCCCGCAGTCCCACAGTGTGACATATATACATAAACTAAAAAAGGGCAGAGATAAATGGGGTATACAACTAAGCAATAGTTTTAATAAGTGCTGGTTAATAATATATTTAAAAACACAGTCCACAGAACATAAATTGACATTAATGCAAGTATTTTTTGTGCAAAATACAAAAATGTTCAAAGTACAGTTTCAGTGCAGTAGCAGCGGAGATGGGTAGAAAAGTGACTGGTGCTGGATGAGGGAAGGTTGTGTGTGTGTGTGTGTGTGGGGGGGGGGGGGGGGGGGTTAAAGTCCAGGACCATTTGGGGCAGGGTGGAGAGGTCAGGGGAGAGATGTCAGAGAGGGGGAGAGGGAGAGAGAGGGAGAGAGGGAGAGGGAGAGAGAGGGAGAGAGGGAGAGAGAGGGAGGGAGGGGAGAGAGTTCAGCATCCTGACCGCCTGGTGGAGGAAGCTGTTTGCCCAGCCTGGAGGTGCGCGAGCTGAGGCTGAGGAACCTTCTTCCTGAAGGCAGGAGGCTGAAGAGGCTGTTGGAGGGGTGGGTGGAGTCACCCGCCAATGCTGAGTGCTTTGCGGGTGAGGCGGGTGTTGTATATGTCCGTAGTGAGGGGAGTGAGGCACCGATGATCCTCTGGGCAGAGTTCACAATGCGCTGCAGGCTCTTGCGGTTGGAGGCGGTGCAGCTTCCAAACCACAGCGTGATACAGCTGCTGAGGATGTTCTCAGTGGCGCCTCGGTAAAAAGACAGCATGATGGGGGGTGATGCTCCGGCTCGCTTGAGCTTCCGGATGAAGTACAGGCGCTGCTGGGCTTTCCTCGCTAGTGCGGTGGTGTTGTTTTCCCAGGTGAGGTCATCAGTGATGGTCACACCAAGGAATTTGGTGCTGGTCACCTGCTCCACAGCAGCGCCGTTGATGGTCAGGGGGAGAGGGGGTTGGTAGTGGGTTCTCCTGAAGTCAACAACTATCTCCTTTGTTTTCTCCAGGTTGAGGAAGAGGTTGTTATTTTGGTACCACAGGGCCAGCTGGTTCACTTCCTTCCTGTAGTTAGTCTCATCGTTGTGGCTGATGAGACTAACTACAGTTGATGGTCTTAATGAACTTTAAATAAGTGTTTCAGTTTTTCTGTCAGTCTGTGATTTCATGTGGTGTACCACAGGGATCAATCCTAGGTCCTCTCACTTTCTCATTGGATTCAGTTTATCTCTGAGCACAATGTGATTATAGGTTCTATTGGAACAGCAGCTTGTGTTGTGGTGTTCAAGACGCTTTAAATGTTGGGTATGAAGTACAATTCTTATTAGATTAAGATGATTTAAAACACATGTCTCTCTCGATTAAACACCTCTCACTAATCTGACTTCACGTTAACGCCCGTCATTGTTATAGCTACGTTTTTTTTACTGACTGATCAAACACTTTAAATCACATCTCTCAATAAACTGGTACACATCACAGACTTAAGTTTTGATTACTTTTGTTCTTATCTTTATAAAATACAATTCTCTGTTGGTCTGTGATTAATCGAGGTGTACCACAGGGTTCATTCCTAGGTCCTCTGACTTTTTATTTACAGACTGCCTTTGGATCTGTTACCCAGGAGGAAGTGTAACTGAGAGAAGTGAAATACAGATCTAAGAGGAGACAGAGAGATTCAGGGAGGAGCTAAGATGTTCCTGAACTATAGAAGAGAGAGGAACTTCCATATTCACCAGAGTTCAACACAGACCATCATCATCACCTTCATTCAACATGCTGTCATTAGACTATTATTTACATTCCCTACTGTTAGTTTCCATTCTAAGAGGTA